AGGCGTTGAACGGTCAACTTTATTAGCCTAGGGCTCTTGCGGATAGGCACATCCAGAGGCACATGCGTCCAACTTGTGAACCCGTCAGCACTTGGTCACAACCATTTCCAAAAGCAAGACACTTCTATCCCCCATGGTCATAGCTGGCGCTCACTGTTGTGCTTTATCAAGCTCTGGTCTATTCTAAAATGACATTGCCAATTTCGACTTGACCGAACGCTCGTCCTCTCGTAAATCACTTGCACGAACCCCATGTGAAGGTTTAATCAATGTGGAGGCGGGGAAATCAAGCTGGGTGGACATGCCAACGTCGTCTAACAGGTGTGAAATAGCCACCGGCACTTACGAAGACCGGAGTGCCAATCTGTCTATACCCACTCAATTAAATATAGCCACCGGCACTTACGAAGGCCGGAGCGCATGCGTACCCCACTCGGTTCTTATGTTATAATGAATACTCTCCCATCTTATTTCCGAGCTGTCACTCGACTCATCAATAAACTGCACTCATGAACTTCCAAATTAATATCCCGTCGGAAGTTCAACATACCTGCCGTACTCATCCGCAGGCGCTGGTTAACGTCATCACGACTTGCTTAAGTTCAACTGCACGGGCTTCGCCATACAGGTAAACGGGTTCAATATTCTTTTCTTGTCTACAAACATGAGGACTTAGCTCAGCGTTTAGATATGACATTCCGAGACAATGTGATTCGGAAGATATGTTGAGGCAATGCTGAAGCGAAGTTTGTTTTTTGTATCCATTTATGTCCATTGAGAGAAGGTTACTCTATGCAGGACAATTCTATCTAGTCTAGGAACCCCGTGCCCCGCTACACCTCAGGGTTCGCGAATGCCCTGATGCTGAGGTACCTCCACCAGTCCGCCGTTCCCGCCCGCCGTTTTAGTGAAGTTCATTGACTATAACCAGCTGGTCCAGGCCCAAATGTCATTTCAGGGATCACGCACATGATCCCGACCCATTTGGTAATCAGGGGACCTTAATTAAGGTGAAAGTGACCTAGGAACTCCCAAGAAGCGTTAATGTCCTTCTAAGTATTCGGCTAACTTATGTTTTGGACGTAGCATTCTATCGGGAATTTTCCTGTAAGTAATTCCTTGGAAGTCAATCAGTACCACTCATTACCGCCCACTGACATTAACCTTTGATTCATAGACACAACGTGACAGAAAATCGGGACTTGAATGACAAGTGCGCCTGGGATCCCCTGTAGCAACCGCGGGCTGCTGCTTCTTCCTGAAGAAAAACATAAAACTCCGCGCATGCGGGTAAGGCACTGTGTTCAGGCCGTGACTTTGGCCTGGACCCAGGCTATGCACATCATCACCTGCAAGTTTATAACGAGAAAGAAGGTCTCACGTGAGGGACGACTGAAATTGATGCTTCAAGCGAAGCAGTGGCGTACGTCACACACACAGTCCGGCTTTTGATGCTGAGTGTTATCCTGTGCTATCTTCCGGAATCTCATGGAGATCTGCGACGGTAGGTACGGATGGGTGAGGTGATGAGACTGATGAGAACATGAACATAATAAGAAATGTGTACCATGCTGGCACATATAGATGGGCGTAAACTTTCAGTAGCATCTGACAGCATCAAAGGCTTCCTTTCGAAAAGATTGTAAACTTTAAAGATCTACGCAGAGTTATTATCGGGTAAAACATCGGACCTAGTGCGAATTCACGATTAGTTACCACCCGGAATCTGAGCCTACAAAAAATACGAGACACAGGCTCACCCTCATTAGCTTACGTTCCCCATTACTCGTTCCCTGTTACTCATCCGAAAGTTTTCGATTCCCTGGAATTGCATCGCCATTCAAACTGCGTATACACTGGCAGCCATTCAATGACCTCCGTCACGAATAAATCGCTACTGCCAAGCAATGCAGATCAACATTTTTATTGACAACAGGATATATAAGACCGTTAACGCCACTCTATGGTGCAAAGGAAGCGCCCTCACCGCAAAATACCTTCCACATTGGGCACATATTTCGAAAAGCCCGTCCCAGTCCCAGATATTCATACAGCCAGGAGACCAGTTTCGAGATTGTTCATCACAACCACACCATCCTGCACTTGTCCGAGGGGGGATAGGTGGGTTTGCTGAGGTCACAGTACTGCGTATCGACCAAACATACGGAGCTGTCGACAATCAAGCCAGAGCGAGACGTGGGATCCGAAATAACCGTTGAAGTACAGAGTGCGATGTCATGCAGGATGGGAGGAATGGAAAAAAATACCAAGTGTTGAAAGAGTTCCTCACAGGCGAAAGCCTAAGAATGAAGTGTGATAGTAGAGTCTAGACGTCCGTGAAATCTACCGTCGTGAAACACGCACTATTTAGTATATCTCTCACTCGAGAGTCGAGATCAACTGGTGCACTCGTTGACAGATGCATCAGCGAAAAAATAACTGTTGGAACTAACGAAAGACGGGCTCCTCGGGGTTTCGCATATAGGTTTGAAGTGGCGCAAGTGGAACTCCGAACCGAGTATGATTATATGATTAGGGGGCTAATCGTCACACCGAAAACACCATCTGCATCATTTCTCACTGGTGTTGTTTTGTTTCACTTAGAATATGCTACAACATGAAGTAGCTAAGCAATTACTGTAAGATCGAGTGCTGTACGTCCGTCAACAGATAGGCTGTGCGACACCGATATTAGTATAAGCCTAGCCAGTTCTTCCGGCTATACATATCCGCTTGAGATAAGGGCCTCCTACTATGTTTAGCGCCTGATGAACAATGTGACAGTATATATAAAAATGTAAGAGAACACGCCCCTACCCAAGCCCTGTTTCAACTGTAATCAACCTCTAGTAAAATGGTGTCGCAGCCCACTCCGGCCCTGTCACCACCCACTCTAGTGCCGCAGCAGACTTCATGTGTCACACAGCTGTCGCAAACGTTTGAAGGTCATCGCAAATCAATCTCTGCAGTTGTAGCCATGCCCAACACGCAGCGCATGGTCACCAGTTCGAAGGACAATACACTTTGTCTGTGGGAATTGACGACGAAGAAACTATTGAAACATCTGGTAGGGCATCCCAGTGTTGTATCTGGATTGGCGGTATCGCGAGACGGGAAATTCATAGCAAGCTGTGATATCACTGGAGGGATCATTCCCTGGGACGGAGAAACTGGAGTTTGTCTCATTAATGATGCCCAGGGAGCCGGGTTTACTGAAACCAAGTTCACTGCCAAAAATGGATCTCCCATTACCCATAACGGGTCGACTAGGTCCACCCAAAACGGGTTCGCCGTTGCCTACAACGGGGCGACTACTGCCCACAACGGGGTCCACCAATGGCCAAAACGGGTCCACAAACGGCCACAACGGGTCCATCGACGGCCATAACGGGTTCACCAACGGCCACAACGGGTTCACCAACGGACACAACGGGTCCACCAATGGCCACAACGGGTCCACCATTGCCCACAAGTACAACGGGGCAACCTTTGCCCACAACGGGTCCACCACTGCCCAAAATGGGTACACCCCTGCCCAAACCGACGAATCTGTTGCTCTTCAACTCATCATAGCCCACCAGTCCAGCGAGGTTCATATATCGCTGGACTTTTCTGCGGATGGAACAACTTTGGCGAGTGCGGGTGATCGTACGGTGAAGTTTTGGTGCACAGCTGCGTGGAAGGAAAATCAAGATGCAATCCCTCTTGACGCAGTTGTCCACTGCGTTCGGTATTCATTATCTGGCGAACTTCTTGCCATCGCGACAGAGAACAATATCTACATCTATAATTCAGCAACCAGGCAACGTATCAAAACGCTCAAAGGCCACTCAGGTGGCACCTTCACACTCACGTGGACGCTCCAGGGAACATACCTTCTTTCAGGTGGCGGTGAACGCGATCCTACCGTTCGGGTTTGGGAAGTGTTGAAGGGGGGCGAGATCGATACCTTCCGTGGTCACACTGACAAGATCAGTGCCATTGCTGTAGATGATTCCAGCACCATCATCACTTCCGCATCTTCTGACGGCAGTGTCCGTATCTGGCCATTCCCGAAATCCAACATGCTCGAGGTCGCCGCCGGCGCGTTTTGTGTCACATTCTTCAGCGGAGGCAATGACCAGAAGTTATCACAGTGGGTTCTACCCTCGACGGGACTGGTGTCGGTATGTTCCCGTTGATTTCTCATGATTTCGTCGTCTCATCTCGCTGATTTAGACGAAGACTCAAGTAAAAGTTAATCAAAAGGTATGTTCTCATCATTGACTCTGATAATGCAACTCGAGCATACCACAGATCGTCATCCTCGACATGTCGGTGGCCGCCCGCACTGCATGCATTACTGGGGACTTGTCTTTGGCCGTGGAGATATTCACGCAAGAAATAACGACAAATGCCAGCAGCTACGTCTGCTATGGGAACCGTTCCATTGTTTATGCACGCCAAGGTGATTGGGAATCTGCACTTAGTGATGCAACTCAGGTGAATTATACCAACCAGTATTGAATTTCTTTAAGATATGCTAACTTGGATCGTGACGTAGTCCATTAGCATTCAAAAGTCGTTGATAGGCTATATATCTAAGGGCATTGCCCTCTACGGAAAGGGTCGGATTCGAGAATCGAGTACTGCATTTGATCTCGCGCTGAGGTTGGCGACCGGAGATTCAGCAACTCATCTTTTTCTTTTTTTGATCAAGGTAGGTTACATTTTTCTTCCATGGTCCGTGCTCCATTCCGATTTTCAGGCTATTGCAACATTCAATACAAATGCATACGAAGAAGCAATCATGTCTGTTAATGACATGGCCGAGGTTTCTCTCGATGACGATCTTCTTGCTTGTAAAGTCGTGCAAGTGAGTATCAATTCTGGTTCGTGTTCTGAATCTGAGACTGATTGTTCTGCGCTTCGCGCATCAGACATACTTCTACGCCGAAATGGCACTCGCTGCTTCGAAGGGCAATATTCGCGACAAAGCCGTCAAATACATCGGTGCAGCTATCGAAATCGCTAACAGCTGTTCCCTCCAAACAATGGACTTTTCTATCTACACGGAATTCGTCGTGGTACGTTGATACAATACACCACCCAACATGATACATATGCTCAAGCGCGCTTTTTTTTGCAGATTTTCGGGTGGGACCTCGAGTCATTGTGGCAAACCATACACAAGTATAAATGCCTTATACTCTTCCGAGCGCGCAATATTGGTGCACTCGAGTGCTACCGATCACTGCTGGAACCATGCGACGAAGCTCAGAAGGCCATCTTGATTGCTTGGTTTGCTGGTGAGTCTTTTCAGTCATGTCAACCATGCTGGCGTCCTCAGCGGCTGATGAACTGGCCAAAGAAGAAGCCGAGACACAATCAGCGACAGAGGCATGGGCAAGAGAGAACACAGAAGATGAAGCCATAAAAGTGAGCTCAGAAAGCAAAGTCGCTGAAGCAAATGCGAAGAAAAAGAACGCAGAAGATGAAGCCAAAAAAGCGAGCTCGGAAAGAAAACTTACCGAACGAACTGCAGAGAGAAGCACAGAGGTGGGCAGCGCCGCGGATGATAAGACGCAGAAAAACATCAAAAAAGCGGACCGTCGTCTTCCAAAGGACCGGAGGTGTTCCCGAGGATACGCTTGGGTCCCAACGTCGACTGTGGTTTTTTTACTTTTGTTTTTTTTTTGTACCCGTTTCTACCCATTGAAAGACATACCCTATGTAGGACATAGTCTTATGGGACCCCTTGTGTCCCGTTTCGCATCTCTGGAGCTACAAATGCCCTGGTGTGAGGCGTGCCCCCACCAGTCCGTCGTTCCTGCCAGCCCTTCGACTTGTTTCAAGTGCACGGGGGTTGGACATAGCATTTATAGTGAGCAATTGCCTAAATTGGATGCCTCGGATGGTTCAGATGACCATCATAGATATCAGCGAATTGCCTATGAAATTATGCTCGATTACTGTTAACCTATGATTACAGTACTGTAATGGATGACTTCCAGCGGCATTTATTATTTGATTATTTAATAAGGCGACTCATGAACGTCGGTAAGTTAACTCGTGAATGAAGCTGAAGCCGCAAGGTTTCGTTACCGTTCAAACTTCAGGTGGACACTTCTCTATTGGCGGGCTAACAGTGCGTACACCGACCATGGCCGTGGGCCATGGCGAGCTATACCATTCACAGAGCCCTGAAGGGTTCCTCATGGGTGCATCTGGTCTCAAGGTATGTCCTGTCCCATTGTACTGCTGATTTGACGACGAAAACTCTAAAGGAACTCAGGTCGTAATTCCCCAATCCAATGCTAAGGCCTCCTCCTCTCAGCTATCCGCGATCCCAACCCAGTCATATTCATGGAGCCCAGAGTCCTCTATCGTTCTGCAGGTACGTCCGTCCCCCTTTCCCACTTCCCTGTATACATGTATTAATTCTACCTACAGTTGAACAAGTCCCAATCGACGACTTCACCCTCGCCCTCTCCCGCGCCGAAATCCTCCCAAGATCCGATCTGACACTCCTAACCTGGGGCACACCCGTCTACCACTGCCAATACGCCCTCCGTCTCCTCAACTCCCCACCACCCTCACTCGCACCACTCATCCCTCCTTTCGCAGCGCCAACGTCGAGCTCATCGATTTGCGAACGATATTGCCATGGGAGAGAGACAGTCATAGAGAGCGTGCGCAGGACGAAGAGGCTCGTGATCGTACATGAGGCGAATGTGACAGGTGGCGTCGGGGGAGAAATCGCTGCTGAGGTTGGGAAGAGGGCTTTCTTGAGGTTGGACGCGCCTGTGAGGAGAATTGCGGGATGGGAGTGAGTGTCGTTTTTATATCCTTTTTTTGTTCTGCCCCTCCTCAAGTTCTGATGACGTTCATTGTTAGTGTCCCAGCTGGGCTGCAGTTTGAGAAGTTTAATATACCGGATGCGGTTAGGGGATTATGGAGACGCTCAGTTACTGATCTAATCGCTGATTTGGGCTGTTTCTCAACTTGCCTTTGCGCCCACGGTGTGGCATAAGGGATGGGAAATGGTCATTTAATGATGTAGTACATTAGCATGCACGTATACACTGTACGAGTGCAACACCAACATGTTTTAGGGTGCGGGAGATGTTGAATGATTCCATGAGAGTAGTAGGAGTTTTTGCGTAGATGCGAGTCACCGAATACTTCGTTGCTATACATTTACCGTTCAACTAAAAGGCGTTATCTCTGTCGAAAGTATCAGACCGGAGCATGGGGCTCCAAGACTGGTTAGTATTGTTCTACATAAAGCCTCACTCTCAATGTACATAAGATAAAAAATAAAAACAAGTATCAGACGCTGGGCTTCGACTAATCGACGGTGAGGAGCACGCGCTGAGCAAACATGATCATTGTCATGTGCACATGTAAGGACATTCACAGTGGGTGGTGGGGAAGGACTCATGGTGTGTAAGCACTGAAGAATCTTTGATCTGCGTTCATGTTATGAGCCACTACACGACGCAAGTACAAAGGGACACAATAAACAACTAACCCTAATGGTTGAAGAATCATCGATCAACGTTCATGTTATAAACCAATACACGACACAAGTACAAAGAGACACAATAAACATATAGGTAACTGCATAAAAGACCTCGGTATTTCAACGCGACAGCGCCGCTTACTTCAAGGCCGCAGACATACACTCCGCATGCTTGAATTCTGAATGAAAGATAGTTGAGGACGGTAGCATGATTAACATGACTGAAAATACTCACCGGCGAACCAAGCACGTAAGCTGGCCTTCTGAGCTTTGTCGGAATCTTCCATAAGTGAGACGTAGTACTCGAGTGCTTCGATGTTACCCGTCTGGGCGAGTATAAGACATTTATACTTCCTTACGGTCTGCCACAACGACTTCAGGTCCCACCCAAAAATCTGCAAAAAAGCGCAGTTGAGCACACATATCATGTTGAGTCGTATATTGTATCAACGTACCACGACGAATTCCGTGTAGATAGAAAGGTCCATTGTGTGAAGGGAACAGCTGTTAGAGATTTCGATAGCTGCATTGATGTACTCGATAGCTTTCTCGCGATTGTTGCTCTTCAAGGCAGCGAGTGCCATTTCGGCGTAAAAGTATATCTGATGCACCGAGCGCAGAACAATCAGTCTCGGATTCAGAACACGAACTGGAATTGATACTCACTTGCACGACTTGACAAGTAAGAAGATCGGCATCGAGAGAAACCTCAGCCATGTCATTAACATACATGATTGCTTCATCGTATGCATTTGTATTGAACGTTGCAATAGCCTGAAAATCGTAATGAAGCACCGAACATGTAAGAAAAATGTGACCCACCCTGATCAAAACAAGAAGATGATGGGTTGCTGAATCTCCAGCCGCAAACCTCAACGCGAGATCAAATGCAATATTCGCTTCCCGAATTTGCCTCAATCCGTAGTGGGCAATGGTCTTGGCCATATAGCCTATCAACGAATTTTGAATGCTAATGGACTATGTCACAATCCAAGTTAGTATACCTTGAAGGGGGTTCAGTATTAGTCGGTATAACTCACCTGAATTGCGTCTTTAAGCGCGGACTCCCAATCACCCATGCGTGCATGAAGAATTGAACGGTGCCCGAAGCAGACGTAGTTGCTGGAATCTGCCTCGATGTATTCTGTGAATATCTCCAAAGCCGTAGACAACATCCCTCCCGTCGTAATTATAGTGTAGGCGGTCTCGTCCATGGTGAGGGTGAGGGTGTCGGTCTGTGGAATGCTCGAGTTGTGTTATGAGAGTCAATAACCGGAGAATATACCTTGTGCCAGTGAGTGACTTCCATTTGAGTCTTTGTCTAAAATCCGCGAGATGAGACGATGAAAAACATGAGAAATCAATGAGAACATACCGACACCAGTCCTGTCGAGGGGATTATAGTGTAGGCGGTCTCGTCCATGGTGAGGGTGTGGGTCTGTGGAATGCTCGAGTTGTGTTATGAGAGTCAATAACGAGTACATACCTTGTGCCAGTGAGTGACTTCCATTTGAGTCTTCGTCTGGAATCCGAGAGATTAAATAATGGAAACATGAGGGATCAACGTGGACTAGGGCAGAAGCAGAAGAAAGTAGACTCTATGTGGATGTATGTTGCGATGCACACTATGAACAGAGCTGGCTGCGTATGCCAGTGGCTGACTAAGTTATGGAGATCGCCGAAGGGCTGCCTCTGGGCTAGTGATGCATCGGGCCCGGCCAGTAAGGCCCTCGGGCCTCAAGGCTCAGGCCCTTTGGGCTGAGCCCTTGTAGGCCAGGCCAAAGCCACGCCCAAGGTGAGGGCCTTTTAGGGCTTTGGGCCTGGCTTGTGAGCTAAACTAAGGACAACAACGAAGACAAGAAAAAATAAGGAGACATAAGTAAATTTTATTTCTAAGGGGACATTTCTATACAGTCCTAGTGAAATATGCCATGGAAGCGTATATCATCGAGATGGGTAAAAATGAGCGTGGAAGTGGCAATAGAAAAATATAATGATGGTTACTTGAATGACTGGAGCGGACGAGAGCAGCGAAGGACCTTACAGAGGATGTCGGAGATGTTTTACCGGCATCATAATGGTCACGTGTTATGATGGACCTCCAAATTATTTTGACCTGATTTCGAGCACATTACGATGCCTTAGGCGGAGTTCCAATGTCATTTTGATGCGACTGATCTTATTACTGATATGACTGATATGCCTTTAATAATAGACTACCACCATCAACTTGCTCATTGTTCATCTTCTACTCGTATCCCATCGGTATTACATCGGTATTACAACACACCAATGCCCAAGTCAAAACAACGGGTATCAGACCTTGTGACGTGCGATCAATGTGGGGCAGTTGTCTGTGTGTGAGGGTTAGGATCCCATTCAAAATCTTGCGCAAAGAAAGAGCAGGAACAGCTGGAAGATGAGGAATTCACTGATATAGTTCGGAAAGCCAAAAAGAAAGGTCAGTGCTTGATTCAGTTATCTGATGCGCTTGATATTTTATAGTTGATCATCGTTTTACAGAACTTAGAAGGCAGCGTCGTAAGGTTCGCAATAATCTACTATGTTTTGAGGACGCACAGTCGTCTGCTACAGGTGAGCAGTTATGTTTTGATTATGTTACTGCACTTTTAATGTTTCTTATTGTAATATAGCGAGCGCCACCGCGATCTGGGCAACAGAATCAGACATGGGTAAGTTCAAATCAATTTGATTGATATCATCCCTAGACTAATTTAAACACAGTGCCAGATAATCAAGGGTCATCGCCTCAACGGTACCCACCAATGGACCATGACACAACATTACCTGACTTCTATGAGCCTGATCCTGGTCCCAACAAGCCTAATCCTGGTCCCAACAAGCCTAATCCCGGTCCCAACGAGCCTAATCCTGGTCCCAATGAGCTCACTCACAAGCTCGATGACATCCAAGTCGGATATCATCCCCACAGCCAACTCCCTTCCACTGTACATCACTTCTCCAAGTTCTCCCGCAGCTGCCTGACAGAAGATTATGTGCCCCATAACAACTCACCATGGGAACCCTTCCGCACACGGCTCGATTTCGAAATAGCAGAGATCGCTCTTGAATGCGATGATGAAGGATCAGACTAATCACCTTCTCGATCTCGTGCATCAATCTGCTAGCAGCAAAGATACATTCACGTTGCAAAATCATGACGAAGTTCGTTCCCTCTGGGATCTTTCTTCACAACATTATACTAGAGTAAGTGTTGTCTCATGTACTACTACTAACAGTATAATAAGCTTATCATTAGTGTTTAGTTTCAGCATGATAAAGTATCTGTTCCCTTTGAAAAAGAGGCGCATGAATTCGACATGCACTACCGCCCTCTCTGGGATTGGGCGCTTGACTTGTTGTGAGATGGATGTCTCGCACCTCACTTTGTGTTTGATGCTCAACGTCTCTCAAAATTAGATGGAGAAAGATTTGTACGTTTTATCGACGAACCGTGGACTGCCAATGCATTTTGGAATGCACAAGTATGTTTTGACACTTCATTCATTATCTATCCTCTTAAATTAATCATATCCTGCTGAATGTTTGTAACTTAGTCACACCTTCCCCCGGATGCCAAACTGCTGGCATTCATTCTGTATGCAGACAAAAATAAACTATCATCATTTGGGAGCCAAAAAGGCTATCCGATTATCGCCTGCATTGCCAACCTGCCAGTTCATATTCATAACAGTAATACTGCCATAGGAGGCGGTCGTGTTGTTGGCTGGTTGCCCATTGTTGGTGCATCAGGCCGATTCAGTTAGTAGTATTACTAGTTGTATTGATTTAGATTGCTGAGAATCAGGAACACATGAAGAAGAAGAAGTACGTGGACTTCAAAAATGCCGTCTGGCATACATTGTTTTACCAGCTTCTTGCCTCGGTTGCAAAGCACTCAAACACGGGCTATTGGTTTGAATGTGGGGATGGAATCCAACATCATCTCTGGCCCTTGGTTTTGATCTTGAGTGCCAATTATGAAGAACAGTAAGTCACAATATTAGTTCTAGTACCACTCTACTGCGAGGCTCATAAAAATCGTAGATGTGTCATGACATTGATACGTGGACTTACGGGGAAATTCCTGTGTCCAGTTTGTCTTGTTCCACAAGATCAGCAGTCTGATCTTCGTACCCACAAGCTACGCACAAGCCGCCAATCTGAAGCCATACTCCATACTGCGAGATCAATGTCTTCTGAGAAGGAAAAGGAGGATCGCTTGAAGGCTTTCTCGCTCCGAAATGTTCAGGTATGCCCTTTCTGCTGTAATGTCTATTAATACTGACAAACTCACTGATTTAAGAACGTCTTCTCGAGAATTATTCACATGGACGTTCATCACGCTCTTCCTTTCAACCGCCTCCATACAAACAAGGAAGGATTATGGGGCGACCATCTGTGGAAGGAAGTGAAGTTTTGGATTGCGGATCTTGGGCAGGAAGCCACCGTCAAACTCGACCAAAAGTATGTATTGTGACTATGAGACATTAATGCTAGTGCTGACTAGCCGTTTTAGTTTCGACGCACTTCCACAATGGCCTGATTTGACGCATTTTTCCTCCGTTATTGCGGTGGATTTCACTGATGGTACTGTTCTTGGGGATCTGTCAAAGGTTTGTCTATACATCATAAACAATTTTAGGTACTAAAAAAACTTAGATGATTATCTTTGCGGCACAGGATATTCTTTCTTCATCCCACTGTAAACTGGGATACTTACTTCTTCGCTGCCTTCACTATTACATTGAGTTTGACATCTATGCCTTGTTCGAAGTCCACACGGAAGATATGATTGCAGCTGGAAGGTTGGTACTGCAAAAGTTCTCAGAAATTATGGATGCAAGTCGCTATTTGTTCAGATGATGATTGTCTAACATTTTGCTAGGAATATATCGCTGAATCGCAGCCTGAAACATTGAAAAATTGGAACTTTCCAAAGAAGCATTTAATCTCGCATGTATTCGACAATATTTCAGCTAAAGGTGTGACCCGCAACTACAGTACCAAGCCCAATGAAAAGATGCACGGCTCTTTTCGAAAAATCTACCTTCAACACACGAATTTCAAGAACATTGCTTCTCAGGTGAGTCATTTCTAATTATATTGTTGTGCAGATTCGGCCTAATAATAGCTTTATTGTTGCAGATCCTGCACTATGATGAGTGGCTTCTGACCTCGACGTCCATGTGCACTGAACTCGACGAACTTGACAAGTACAATCAAAGAGACTCTCGTGACCCGGAGACCAATGAAGCCCTGGATGATGCTGGAAACCCTGAATCTACTACTGTCCATGCACATTTAGGTTCAAGGCAAGGCAATCACTCCTTTTCCGATATCATGCACTCACATGGAACTGATAGGGCCTTCACTGACTTTCGGATGAAGCTTAACGGCTTCCTGAACATTTTTCTACCACAAAATGGCATTCCATTACCAGATGGAAGGCGCATTCACCTGCGTGTGGACGACACGGTATGCTAATTTGCTTCAACCCAATTGATAATACTGATACATTTTTCTCAGGTAACAGAGTTTTGGTTTTTGCGGATTCATTATGAATCAATAGTCAACTGGTGCCTGCACTGAGATCTACTTCAGTGCAACCCGAAGTTCTACGGATCACCGAGGTACGACTGTGTCTTGGTGAATACTGCAGACAAGCTGTTTTTCACTTGCTTCGTGTACATGTTCAGCTGCTCGATTAGTGGCACTAATTTCCCTCTTGCACTTACATAGAACAAAATAGAAATACATGGAAAAAATGGAAGTGAAGTTTGAAAGTGAAAATCCTAGCTAATAACTAAGGGGAAAATGATGGGGTAACTTGGTGATAGGATACAGTAGGGTCTATTATACCTTCCTTATCACACCTCTTGTGTATCTGTCATGGTATGAGTTGCATACCATGCATGACACCAGGCAATATGGCAGTCACTACTACTACTAATAGTACAAGTTATTAGACATCTGTAAAGGGCCGACATCAATAAAAGCTTGTTGCAGATGAAGGATGAGGAGACCAGGACATACCAGTAATACTGAGGATGGCCTGCCTCACAATGGTTGAGCCTGGAGAGCTTTGATTCGAAGAAATATGTCACTGTCCACAGTGTGGATGACAAAGTAATTGCCAGGTGTTTCAGGATCGCTGGCGAGAGCAGCTCCCCAAATGATTGACTGGACAGAAATGATCTCAGAGGATAATCAAGGTTTGGCCTGCACACGCCACAGTCCAAGCTCGTTGTCTCGCCTTCAACGACTACTAGGAATACTAACATCATAAGGATGGATACAGTGGCTCAAAAAACCGTCCGTATGTTTTGGCATTTTTCACTATCTATAATATTGTGTGAGAACAAACAAATGCCTCAAAAACATGCTTATACCACATTGTAGTATGGCTTCAGGGCTTTCATTTGAGCCCTACACCGTGGGAATCGGTGGAGATATGGTGGAGATACAAGGCTCACAAAATGGTGACTCATGCGGACAGTTTTTTGACTCAAGTATTTTACAGTAATAACCAGGTATTCTAGTATTTTGTATGACCTCCCTTGGCTTTAATTACTGCCTCTATCCTTCTAGGCATACTCTCAATTAATTTCTGGCAATCCTCAGCTGTGATCTTCCCCCATTCCACTGCTACTCTCTCCCAAAGCTCCCATACTCCTTTAGGGGGGTTTTCATAGGCTTGAAGCTTTTTCTTGAGTGTTCCCCAGAGATGTTCAATGACATTGACATCAGGAGACTGTGCTGGCCAGTCAAGAACATTGATGTTATGTTCTTCAAACCATTCCCTAGCTCTTCTGGATGTGTGCTTGGGATCATTATCCTGTTGGAAAATGATATCTTCTTCATCAATCCCTGATTCTGCCAAGCTAGGCAGCAAGTGGTCATTTAAAATGTCCACATACTGCTCAGCATTCATCTTCCCCTCAACCTCAGCAAGCATTCCCACACCATTCTATCCCATACAGCCCCATACCATCAAAGAACCTCCTCCAAACTTGACAGTCCCATTAACCTCTCTGTCTGTTAGGCCATCTCCCTTCTTTTTCCATACATACACCTTCCCATCTGACCCAATCCTATTGATTTTGGTCTCATCTGACCATATAACATGCTTCCAGTCCTCTACAGTCCAGTGTTGATGAGCTAAGGCAAAGGCTAGTCTTCTCTGCCTATGTTTGATGGAGAGAAGAGGCTTTTTCTTCTTTGTTACTGCCTTGAGATGAGCTGCCTTGAGAACATTCCTCACAGTTTGTGAAGAGACAGGGGTAGTGATGGTGGAATTGATATAATGGGTGGCTTGGACAGCATTATCAGCCTTTCCTGTAGTGATATGTTGGATAATAGCCCTTTTGTCAGTAGAGGTAAGCTTGGATGGACGTCCTCCACAAGAGTTTTCCTTGTCTGGGTGGCTTTCTTTGATGAACTTGGCCACAGTGGACTTGCATATTCCAGTTCTAGAGGAAATTTGGCGAGCAGAGAGGCCAGCATAAGACAGAGAGAGGATATTATCTCTTTGAGCAGAGGAGATGGCTTTCATGGTGATTATGACTATGATACATGAGATATTCTGGTTTATATAGTTAGATATAGTCATAAAATAACATAATGACACCACTTTATAATTTATATAATAGTGGCATGATTTTTATGGTGTCATAAATAATGATTTATATAGTTTTAATATACACTCAAAAAACTGTCCACATGAGTCATCATTTTATAAGCCTTATATCTCCACCATATCTCCGCCGATTCCCACGGTGTAGGGCTCAAATAAAAGCCCTGAAGCCATACTACAATGTGGTATAAGTATGTCCTTGAGGAATTTGTTCATTCTCACACAATATCATAGATAGTGAAAAATGTCAAAACATGCGGACAGTTTTTTGAGCCACTGTATGTAGAGTTTAAAAGTCCGGTTGTGCAACTGGAAAAAGACTGCAGACTCAACTGGACCGCAACTTTTCTAGACTGAACTTCGGTCTCGGTTGCCCCTTGATATCACCTCTACCAGTTGCCGGTTGCCTCATTTGACCTGCGGCATCAGACTGGTGAAAACTCGACTACAACCGGTCTAACCTGGGACCGGTTACCTCAAAACATGAAATTTCGACTACACAATACTATGTAGACATGATGCACTAGAGACTTACTATGTAGTACTATGGACTTCGCCGGCTTCATTCTCCCAATCAGCCATGTCCTCATCCACGAGAAGGAGGTCTTTATACTTGTTTAGCAAGACCTCCTCAACAACACCTGAGTTTGCTTGGGCCAAATTGATGAGAGACTTACGCCACGAAAACTTGAGCATTTGCAGCTGTTCAAAATGTTCTGCACCTAGATGAGAGCGTTTGTTGGTGGCTGTCTCTGCACCCCCCTGAAAAAGCCATTCACATGGAACCAATGATGCAGGAATCGCAAATGGCAATCCTTGCAAGTGTCGGATATATCAAAGCATGTTTCTGACAAAAGAATCAGTCAAATAGATAATAGTACAAATGCCATGCACTTACTGACCACCAGTGAACGATATCCATATCCTTTGAGACATCAGGGATGACCTTGAGGTATCTCCACAGTTCCTCAGCCCAGCCAGCGTCATGGTCACACGTTGCCTTTATAAGAAGCAGACAGCGATGATGGTCGAACTCAGATTCCATAGTAGCGGTGTCTCCTGGTACTATGGCGGCGGTGGCGGTGCCTGGCGTGGTGGAAGCTGATAGATTCAGTGTGGTGGCGGGGGAGTCACGAGTCTTCCAATAGTCTTCCATAGTCCTCTCCATGATCTTCAGGGCCTCGTCATGCCAATCCTTGGCATTGGGATTTCCAGCTGCATGCTCCTGTTCTTGTTCTTCCGCTCCTCCCCAGGCAATCTTGATGTATTCGAGTTTATAGTATGGATGAAGAACTGTAAATCTATCAGTAACATCAACACAAATTAAAAATAGAAGAACGCACCCAGCACAAGCACATAGACAGGTTTGTCGTCCATCTTTCTGTAGTGCTTACAGACCTTATCGAGTGCTTTCTCGATTGCGGCCTTGTAGGGTACATACTTTGGCATATCCCGCTTTCGCTCCCATGCCGTCAGTAGTTCCTCAAATGCGGGTATTGCACGCCATAGAGTTGGTTGACTTTCAGAAGAAAAGTATTGCTGGATTTCATTAGCCTCCTATGGACATAAATTAGAGCAAGGCATAGGACATATTATGAAACAAGGAACATACTGAAATGATGACATGTGCATCTTCAACGCGCTCCCAATCAGCACTTGTGAAGGAAAAGGCTGTCCAGGGAATGTGTTTCTTTCCAAGCGCAGGACGTCGGATAGTAGTGATGGGGCCAAAGAGCTCGTCTGCAGTATTGATAAACATATTTATAGGCTATGCAAATGGATTAGTAATGTAGTATCACCAATCGCGTTTTTACTTACCTGTCGCAAAAGGTATGCACACCCGAGCATGCCATCAGCAGTTCCCCAGTGAATATTGCTATGAAGAGGGATCTTGAGCGGAGTTGTGATACCGCTGTGACAATCATATTGGCGCTAGGCATGTATACCTGCATAAGCCTTCAATAGGTGGACCAAAGTTATCCCTCATATCATTCACTACTCCCCTATCAGCAGTCTTCAGTTCTCTCAGCCATAACCCTTGTCCGATGCTATTCCGCACTTTCCCGCACTGTGTGCGCACATTACCACAGCGCTATTCATACTCTTGCGACTTATCCGATGCTATTCCTGCGCTTATAGCGCTGTCAGAACTACCAACAATGTGTTTTAGGTCCATTAGCACATGTCTGCACTATCTAGCACATGTCCGCACTATCTAGCACTTGTTCCCGCGCTTAGCGCTTATCCAGCGCGCTGTTCTCGCACTCTAAGATCCACCCGAAACATCGGAATCCATCCATTGTCCATCCTACCTCATTGGTATGTAATTTGCCTTGCCTCGAGTTTGTAAAAAGTGCTACAGTCTTATTACATGTATATCCTATCCCTTCCGAGTCCGAGATGGTATAGTTTACTAGTATAAGAAGCCTATGGTGACTACTTCAACATTACTTCCCTTCGACTGTATTTCCTTCCCTTAGGTTTTACTTAGAAGTAGTCACCCTTTAGTTGCGCTCTATGGCCCCTATTTGACTTTCCTTACCCTTGCAATCAATACCTCTGATCTCACTTGCTATCCATTACCCTCCTTTGACTCAGTGTCTGCTTTCTTGACTTCCGCTCTTTCCCGCGCATTAGCGCTCTATCTTGCGACGCGCTATTCCCGCGCTTTAGCGCTCTTTTGAGTCTTTTGATCTTGAGTTGTCCTTTGTAGCTTTTCCCTTGGGTCGAACGTTCTTGCTTTATTGTTTGCAAGTATAGCAGCATAGGCAGAGCTTAGACATATACTGGCTAAGTACTTACAAGTGCCTAGTCAGGTTGAGATTTTCACACCACACTTCACTTGAAGCACCTGAAAGTATTCAATTCATTGATTTTAGCATTGTATCTGTTAGATCGTTAGCGGTACTACAAATCTCAATGTCAGAAATGTACCTTAATTGCAAGAGTGCGCACAGCTGCAACAACATCCAGCAATCCTCCCAAGACACGGCTGTTTGTCAGTAAAGGATCAAATTCCAGATTGCAGTAGTAGTTTCCACAGCGGCAATGCGAGAGATGATGGACATGATAGCAATGATAGTGAGATTCAGAACGTGAGCAAGGCAGGGGAGGTGGTGTTCTTCAGCATTGAAGGAGTAAATGTGGCAGCGATGCAAAACGTGTTCTATCTTGTCACAGGTTGTGTCATTATTTCTGGTATTATCGGCCGTCACAACGAAAAGCTGAGTTCAATGAATTCATCTGAGTCAGTAGTGTTCAGAGGTGAGATAGAGCAAGAAATACCTTTGTAGATTGGGTAGAAATGATACCCACTCGCTCGCATAAGCTGACTATGTACCTTCCAAGATTATCTCCACTGTGCGCACCAGAGACACCACGGAACACAATGACGTGTGACTGTAGATCCCATCTTTCCTTCTCAATATGAATCCAATGCGCGGTAAGTCCCAGGAATGATGCCTTGGTCTGGTCAATGGACCAGAGATCGGTAGTTGTTGAGATGCGGCCAGTATTTACAGACTATTATATATGTTAGAAAATGTATTTATCTATTAAAAAAAACACATACCTGCATCTCATCCTTGATATCCTTGATGAGCTTGATGAACGAGTTGTGAATATATGTTGTGATATCGTGCGTTGAAGGTAAATCTACTATTGTTGCAGCTGGACGCATTGCAACTAAGCAGTTCCAAAATGTGGTCTTGTTTGCCAATGCTAGAGACTAAATGTAGTAAACAATCAGTATAACACGATTATATGAATATGGCACAGGCCTCACTTGATCGTCACACACAACAAATTCTGCAACTGCATGCAGTACGGAATCTCTTGAAAACTCCTTTAACTGCTTCTTCTCTGTCTTCTGGAACAATCTATCAATCTTCATCTGCTTTCCTTTCGACTCTTTCTCCAGCTCTCACAACATTTCACAAGGCATCGCATAGTGGTTCTCCCGGATCTTTAACTCCCTACATCTGGCCTTGTAGAACTTGTAGTGGCTGCATATGTGTTGACGGCATGAAGAATTACTACCTAGATGAAACACCTTCCGCTTCCCATTATCCTTTACAAATTTTCATCATCCCTTCGGAATTATGGTAAGTTGATTGCCCATCACAAGATATTTTATACTGACTCACTTGCAAATGATACACCAGCGTCCTTTCTTTGTATCTACTACACCATCAATGCCGACAAATTTCACCACGCACTTCTCCGTAAACATGGTAAGTAGATCACTAGCCCACTGTTTCTTCATTATCAATAGATCTGGGAGATCTGCCTTGTGTTGTTCCCCCAGATCATTTCCCTGCTATTGTGCATGCCCGTGAGCTAACACTGATTTTCTACAGTATCCTTTTACTTGCCTCGTCTTCGTCATTATCACTGTCGCGGTCCTCGATACTAGAGTCATACCCTATCACTTCAGGCTCACTTTCCACGGCGGCAAGGTCATGCACTTCCTCAACGTCAACTGGGGGGGCTGGAGCTTTCCCTTTCCGGACACGTTTGGATGCTTTCTTCTTAGAGGTGCATTGATTTTCTGGAGGGCTTGAATAACTGCTGCTTGTCAGACTCTTCCTCACTGACTACTGGTCTTTTTCATTTAGAATTCTTTGGTGACTTCGGGGGTCTTGAATGAGAGCCTTTCAGAGTTGCATTACAAGTTTCAGAGCCAGCGAGAGCTTTTGCGGTTGCCATCCACTTGCATGAAGACTTCCGTGGATTCAACATCATAAATTGGAGGGTTGTGGAGTAAGAGAATGAGTCTTATTTTTTTTGAGGCGAGGTAGACAGTATGCTAAGTATGCCTGGTGGTAAACACGTTGTACTAGTATGATACTGATTTCCCCTGTACTATACTAGTGTTACATTTCCGTCATTCTACAAGTATATTTCATCAGTCATACCAGTCCTGACCAGTCTTACACAGTTGCCAACCGGTTGTATCTGCAACCGGTTGGCAACCGACTGCAAACCATGTCGCAGTCACACACAACCAGTCTCGGAGGGTTCAGTCCAGGTTGTAGTATGAAATTGAGTTTAGACAGACTGGTCTGGGTCCGGTCTTGCCAAAATTAGCAAAAAGACCGAACCCAACCAGACTTTTAAACTCTAGCTTCTATTGCCTACTTTTTGAGTCTTTTTCCCATCCGAGTATTATACAGTAAGTATGGAGGACTCGGTGTGAGCCAAAACTCACTAGTTTGAAAGATATTCACTGTATGCCTGGGATCCGGCCATTTCGAAAAACGTCGACAGAATTGCGGGTCATAGTGCTGAATGTTGAGTGCACGGTATGGACGAGATCATCTCTGCCGGTGTCAAAATCCTCAGGGTGGCCTATGCATTTCGTGGATATGCAACGACATGGCCAGTAAACCGGGCGAAGACTAGAATGTAATGTCCTACATAGAGTATTACTCTGCAAAGGACAAAAATTGGATTCAAAAAAAAAAAAAAAACCGGGCGAAACGGCTGTTGTATCTGTAGCATACAGCCCACTGTGAGCAGTAGACAATGACTTTGCTGCAGTGTTTGGAAAGGAAGGGGCACGTGAGGGCACATGCGTCTAACTTTAGCGCTGGGGTTGACGTTCACTGGCATTTGATTGATCCCCACTATTTCCAAAAGCAAGACGCTTCCGTCCCGCGTGGTGATAGCTGCACTGGCGCTCACTGCTGTGCTTTAAGCTGTATCTATTCTAAAATATCATTGTCAATTTCAACTCGCCCGGTCGACCGAACGCCCATGGCTAGCCCCACTCAATTCTTATTTTAAATACTCCCCCATTTTATTTCCGAACTGTCACCAAGCTGTTACTCGATGCATAGTCTAATAAACTGCACTCAAATGTCCAGAAATAACATCCCGTCTGAAGTTCAACAAACCGTGCTGCACATTGCCCCAGCTGTGTCTGTCGCTGGTCACGACTTGCCAAAGTTCAATGGCACGGCTTCGTCGTATGGGCAAACGGGGTTATTCTCTTCTTGTTCACAAACATGAGGATTCAGCTCTCAGTGTTTATACATGGTATTCCGAGACAATGTGATTCGGAAGATATGTTGAGGCAATGCTGAAGCAAAACTCATCACTATAACCACTGGCAGGGCCAAATGTCATTTCAGGGATCCATGCCAATCATCTGGTCATAAAGACGCCTTCATTTACATTATTATCAATAATATGAAGGTGACTCACGAAGCGTTACCTTCCACTCGGGTATTCGACTGACTTGTGTTTTGGATGTGGCATTATCAGGAATCTCCCTGTAAATTGTAAGTCAATCAATACCGCCCATTACCGTCCACCGGCATTAATATTGATCCATCTGACCATGTCATAGACACAACGTAACAGAAAATTGGGATTTGGATGACAACTGTGTCTAGATCCCCTGTGGCGGCCGCGGGCTGCTGCTTCTTCCTGAAGAAAAATATAAAACTCTGCGCGTGTAGATAAGACGCTGTGTTTAGGATGTGCCTTTGGCCTGGCCCCAGGCCATGTACATCATCACCTGCAAGTTTAGAAAGAAGGTCTCGCATGGGGGAAGACTGAAATTGGTGCTTCAAGTGAAGCAGTGACGAAACTCCGACTCCGGGTGCTAGGTGCTATCCTGTACCATCTTCCAGAATCTGATAGAGATTTTTAGGTACCGATGGCGAGGAGATGAAACTGATCAGAACACGGGCATCATAAGAAGTGTGTACCATGCTGGCACAGATAGATGGGCGCAGAGTTTCAATACATCTGACAGCGTCAAAGGCTTCCTGAAATGATCGGAGTTGTGATTGGGCAAAACATTGGACCTACGAGTTAACAATTAGTGGTACCACCCGGAATCTGAGCCTACGACAAATACAAAACACAGGCTCACCCTCGTTAGCTTAGAGTCTACCGTCCCCTGCTACTCGTCTGAAAATTTTCAGTTCCCTGGAATTGCATCACCATAGTCAAACTGCGTGTACAGCCATTCAATGACCCCACTTCATGACGGTCGCCACAGCCAAACAATACATGATCAAAATTTTCATTGACACGCAGGATATATAAGACCGTTCACGCCACTCTACAGTGCAGGATATGCAATGGAAGCGCCCTCACCAGAAAATACCTTGCACATTGGTCGCATATTTCGAAAAGCTTGTCCCAGTCCCAGATATTCGTACAGCCAGGAGACCTATTTTGAGACCGTTCATCACAACCACACCATCCTGTACTTATCCGAGGGGGAGGATGGTGGACACACGTCAGCATCCAACATGACTCGCTGATCTTTGAGTAGAAGCGGTTACCTTGAGGAGATACCTTGTATTAATTAGTTATGTGCCGAATTATATCTGTACTGAGCTCCGACTTACAAGTGCGATGCCAATTGATAAGTGGAATAAATGATCGCGGATTTGCTGTGCTCACAGTACTGCGTACCGATCAAACCATAGAGTTGTTGAAAACCAAGCCAGAGCGAGACATGGATCCGAGATAATCGTTGAAGTACAGGGTGCAATGTCATGTGGGATGAAAGGAAGGTGCATTTAGGTGGAAAAAATACCAAGTGTTGAAAGAGTTCCTCATAGGCAGAAGCTTAAAAAAATGAAGTGTTCGTGAGATCTGCTGTCGTGAAACAAGCATATCTCTCTCACTCAAGATCAACCGAGCACTCGTTGACAAATGCCATCCGAGTCAGCGAAAGAATAACTGTATTCAAGACTAAACATGCACCACGATATGAAAGGTATGTGTACCTGAATTATGCCATGGACGCCTTCGACATCCCTACTCGGTTCAAACACCAAAAGGACCCAGACTCCTTATTGAAGAGATGTTCAGTTGCGTAGTTGAATGGACGAGTACGCGAGTCACGGCTCACATGATGTACTTCAGTTTTGTCGGTTCGATTTTTCTTTTTCTCGTACCCTCGTTATATCTTCGCGAGTCCTCTACGTATCCTTATGTTTTCTGGAACTTTGAGGATCCGAGTAAGGCAGGAATGATTGGTAAATCTGGGTTTGAATAAATATTCAAGTAATCCTGTCAGCCTGGGGCCAATGCGCCGATGATATATCCAGAATGTGCGTGATTCGTTAGCGCCAATCACCCCACGGGCCACAAAGTTATCTCACCCGCATAACGGATATTTTATTGATATTGAACTGACAGGTAAGTTCGGTTTCCCTCTGATCTTCATCACTGCAGATTCGTCGATTTGGAAAGAACTTACTTGATATGTTTCCGGCTACTGCCATACGCGTATTCCGAACTTACGCAGGCTCGTTCCTTCCATCATTAATCTCGACGGACTTTTGGATATGTCACCGGCACATTTCGATCTGCGCATTAGCCGTCTTGGCGTGCACCCTTTGGGTGTCATGAAACCCGTCGGAAGCTTCACTTCTCTCCGTCGTTCGTATGGCCGCTGGCGCTGACACTGACATCGCAAGTTTTACGTTGTGGTTGTAAGTGGGCATACAATTTCACGCACGTTGTTGGTTACTCGCTCCGAGCCTGTCCTCAGTACATGATTCTGATCTGGTCTATGTGTATCTTGCTAACACCCTTGGTTCTCATCCCACTGCAGTAACTCCAGCAAGTAAATAATTCGCAGCTGACCCGACGAATTTCTATCCAGGGCAACATTCGATGATAGACTGGAAAGTTACTATCTTATTGTCACAATGAGCAACAAGCTCGTTAACGCCGGTGCGCAAGTAAGGTGGTTCTCCCTCTGGTTTGCGTCACTGACTTGCCAATTTAGAAAGAACTTACTTGATATATTTCCAGCTACTAGCATACGACTATTCCGAAATTATACAGGGCATATTGCTTCCACATTAAGAACATCAGACGAACCAGGGGAGCTGGATTCTCTGATGCTATGTGCATCATTGTTCTTGAAGCTTGAACTCCGATGGCAATCACCTGCTCTCCTATACAGGGGTTAAGCGTAAGCGCTAACAACAGTATTTAAAAGGCACACTACAACTTCTCTAGTATGCCATCTACAACGATGCGACTTATTTTTATAACCGCTTTAGCTCTCTCACAAGCCTTTATCGTACTTTCTCAACACGCTGAGGCCGCCTTCCATGTTGGTTCGAAATGCGATGGTCCCTGTGCTTCTGCCTGTGAGGAATATGCTAGGAAAGCAGGTAGGTGTACTATTCTGCGGTCAAATCCACCTTCACCAGTATGCTCAATTGATGTATATCGTCAGGCCTGCCCACTGATGGCTGGGAAATAGTTCACGATAGCGATGGTCAATCGAAGTGCCGTCGGACAGAAGTCAAAGAAATCTGCCATGGTGTTGAGTTTTTTGACGCGGTAAGTCGGTACATATATTTTCGGAATTAATACTGAATAGCTGAGCAGGACACCAAAGAAAAGAAATGTTGTCAAGATGTGAGTGGTCTCACATGGATCGACAAGCCCGCACAGTTAGGCAAGGTATGGTTTCGGTCTGAGTTCCGATCAATAATTCTTATTTGACATTTCGGGACAGTGCTGCGCCAAGGGTCACGTATGGACGCATGAGAACGGAGGCGGTTCTAAGCGCGGAGGGTGCTGCCCGGTTGGGTTTCACATGAACAATGGGGTGTGCACCCCAGACACTCATTCCCCTCCTCACCTGTGCCAAATTGGGACACACCTGATCGATGGCAAATGCGTCCCTGGTCCCCATAACTCGTGCCCAATTGGGACACACTTGGTCGACGGCCAGTGCGTCCCATTCCCTGGTCCCTACCCTCAGACGTGTAGCAATGGACATGGCGGTGTCGAACCCTCTTGCACGTGCACGAATTCTCCAGTATGTGGGCATGGCAAACACCTAGGCATCAAATATGGCCATTGCTATATCCTCTCCTTCGCCGATGGCCAGCAACTTGGCCTCGACCGGGACCACACCGACTACAAGAAAAACGGCTTCTTCGTCGATATCCCCTTCAAAGTCTGCAAATCAACTACTGATTGCGCACGTGGAAAGGAGGTTGAGATGGGCGAGGCCTTCTCCCTCCAAGATCAGCATGGCTTGTACAAAGACCTACTGTCAACGAAAGGGTGGATTAATGACGCCTCTGGTGGCGCCCATATGGAATTCACCACTGATGCCAGCCATGCCGGTAAATTCACGGGTATCCCTAGTTGTGCTGGCGGTGAATGCGCTCTTCAACTGCATGGTAGTCCCTCTGGCGGTGCATTGGCATACGCTTGCCCGATGCCCACGCCCGGACTGACATTGGTAAGTTTTACTGCTTTTCAAAGGGTTTTTTTGCTAAAGACGTTTTTTTTCGTCCATTAGTATGGCAACCCCAAAGTTGGTCAGAAACTTCGCTTCTCTGAGGTGACGTGCGAACGAATATGAGGTCCCTTTGACTTCTGGCATCAACCTAAACTGAAAGGGAATTTGGGACGTTCTGCATGCTTTCATTTTGACTTACTACATAGTGCCTTGTTCTGATCACAATCTTACTCCAATTTTCGCTATGTTTATGTTGTATAACTTGTATTTGTGGTCTCCATTTTTTCTTGTCAATCTGGCTCGAATATTTCCTGAGACGACCATATGTTCGTTGTATGTACACGCAGATAGCAGTCTGATCGACCCTCGTTTCGATTTGGATATATCCTGTTCTTGGGGTTAGGGTCTTCAAAGGATGTGCTTTACTCGGGCACTCGCCAATCCGACAAGTATGCACGCACTTTGTAGAAATGCCGGCAGAAAACGGTGATCTCGTGGCAGACACCTTAGTTTTTTCTTTGTAAATGACGACCAGGCGAGGACCACAGACATGGGGATAGCTATTAGCGGAGCATCACCATGATCGAAGCTATTCCACGGCATAGCTTTAATACCATCCTGAGGGTGAGGACGTCTTGAAGATTGAGATGAAGAGCGATCTCTCGCAACAGCTCGAGGGACAGTGCTTCAAAGTTGATAAGTTAGATGGCACATCATTACCTCGAGTTCTCATTGACCATTGTCAATTTGTCCACGGTTCGCCAAGCCAACACCGTAAAACCCACATAACAGGAGATGCGTTCGAACTTCGGATAGTCTTGGGCTGTTTAAACATCAATGATCAATCGGTGCCAAGTTTCCGGTGGGGGTGAATCGAGCACGATCAGGGTTTGCTTGCGCTAGAAATATGACCTGCGAGTAAGCCCGATGGCAATGAGTATTCAGACGTGTTAAGTAGCTTTTGTTTGAGTGCAAGTTACCAGTACGTTGGGTGAACGTTTGGCGCTATATTCCCACTCTATTCAATGTGTTGAACGCGATGATCGATGGGTTCCGAACCAATTCCAGAATCCGGTAGCATTTTCATTTCCTGTACAGTCGACTCCGTATCCTGAGACAACGAGTCTCGCAGGCTCTATAAAGGAAGCTATTCAAATCTGGCACCGTCATTTGCCCGTCTCATGCCTCCTCATATGCATGATCTCCCGACCCCGCCATCTTGGACGATATTCGTGTTGAGGGTGGAGGACTTGTCACATCCTGAGGCATCGATCTTCTTTGGCCGCGTCAAGCCCAACTGTTCTCGGTGAGTTCACATCGGCAGCAGTATCGACCGGAGCATGGGGCTCCATTGACGACTAGTTAGTACTGTCCTGCAATGAGTCTCACTCTCAATGGACATAAAGCTGGGTTTTTTGTTAGATGCTGGACTTCAACTCATTGACAGTGGAGAGCACGCGCTGAGCAAACATGATCATTGTCATGTGCACAAAGGACATTCACAGCGGGTGGTGAAACTCGTGGCGTGTAAGCACTGGAGAATTTTTGATCTGCGTTCATGTTATGAGCCAGTACACGACGCAAGTACAAAGGGACACGAGAAATATTTTGGTAACTGCATAAAGACCTCGGTATTTTCAACGCAGCAGCGCCGCTTGCTTCGCTGCAGACATACACCCTGCATGCTTGAATTCTGAATGAAAGATAGTTGAGGACGGCAGCATGGTTGACATGACTGAAAATACTCACCGGCGAACCAAGCACGTAAGCTGACCTTTTGAGCTTGGTTGGAATCTTCCATAAGTGAGACGTAGTACTCGAGTGCGTCGATGTTACAGGTCCGGGCGAGTATAAGACATTTATACTTCCTTACGGTCTGCCACAACGATGTGAGGTCCCACCCGAAAATCTGCAAAAAAGCGCGGTTGAGCACACATATCATGTTGAGTCGTATATTGTATCAACGTACCACGACGAATTGCATGTAGACAGAAAAGTCCATTGTTTGAAGGAAACAGCTGTTAGAGATTCTGATAGCCGCATTGATGTGCTCGATGGCTTTCTCGCGATTGTTGCTCTTCGAAGCAGCGAGCGCCATTTCGGCATAGAAGTATACCTGATGCGCGAAGCACAGAACAATCAGTCTCAGATCCAGAACACGAACCAGAATTGATACTCACTTGCACGAGTTGACAAATAAGAAGATCGGCATCGTGAGAAACCTCGGCCATGTCATTAACATACTCGATTGCTTCATCGTATAGAGTTGCATTGAACATCGCAATGGCCTGAAAATAGTAATGAAGCGCCGAACATGTAAGAAAAAAATGTAACCCACCCTGATCAGTACAAGAAGATGATTGGTTGCTGAATCTCCAGTCGCAAAACCTCAACGCGAGATCAAATGCAATATTCGCTTCCCGAAACTGCCTCAATCCGTAGTGGGCGATGGCCTTGGCCATATAGCCTATCAACGACTTTTGAATGCTAATGGACTATGCCATGATCCACGTTAGTATATCTTAAAGGGGTCCAGTATTAGTCGGTACAACTCACCCGAATTGCATCTCTAAGCGCGGACTCCCAATCATTCATGCGTGTATAAATAATTGAACGGTGCCCGAAGCAGACGTAGTCACTGGAATTTGCCTTGATGTATCGTGTGAATATCTCCAAAGCCGTAGTCAACACCCCTCTCGTCGTGATTATAGTGTAGGCGGTCTCATCCATAGTGAGCGTGATGGTACAGGTCTGTGGAATGTTCGAATTGTGTTATGAGAGTCGATAACGAGAACATACCTTGTGCCAGTGAGTGACTTTCTCATGAGTTTTTGTCTAAAAATCCGCGAGATGAGATGATGAAATTATGAGAAATCAACGATAACATACCGACACCAGTCCCGTCGAGGGCAGTACCCACTGCGATATCCTCTGGTCATTGCCTCCGCTGAAGAATGTGACACAAAACGCGCCGGCGGAGACATCGAGTACGTTGGATTTCGGGAACGGCCAGAGGCGGATACTGCCGTCAGAAGATGCGGAAGTGATGATGGTGCTGGACTCATTGACAGAAATGTTGCTGACCGCGTCAGTGTGACCACGGAAAGCTTCGATCTCGTCCCCCTTCAATGCTTCCCACACCCGAACAGTAGGATCGCGTTTACCGCCACCTGAGAGAAGGTATGTCCCTTGGAGCGCCCACGTGAGTGTGAAGGTGCCACCTGAGTGGCCCTTGAGCGCTTTGACGCGCTGCCTAGTTGCTGTATTATAAATGCAGATATTGTTCTCTGTCGCGATGGCGAGACGTTCGCCAGATGACGAATAACGACGGAGTGGGCAACTGAATCAAGATGGATTGCATCTTGATTTTCCTTCCACGTAGCTGTGCACCAAAACCTTACCGTACGGCCACCCGCACTCGCCAAAGTTTTTCCATCTGCAGAGAAGTCCAGCGATACATGGACCTCACTGGGACTGGTGGGCTGCGATGAGTTGAAGAGCGACAGCAAGTTGGGCAGCGGTCCCGTTTTGGGCAGGGGCAGTGAGCTTGGTTTTAATGAACCCGGCTCCCCGGGCATCATTAATGAGACAAACTCCACTTTCTCCGTTCCAGGGAATGATACCTCCAGTGATATCACAGCTTGCTATGAATTTCCCGTCTCGTGATACCGCCAATCCAGTCACATCACTCAGATGCCCTACCAGACGTTTCAATACCTTCTTCGTCGTCAAATCCGACAAACAAAGTGTGTTGTCCTTCGAACTGGTGACCATACGTTGCCCATTGGGCAACACTACAACCACGGAGATGGACTCGTGATGACTTTCAAACGCCCGGGACACTTCTGTGACGTGTTCTGTGACCTGTTGTGTGACGCGTTTCGTGACGTGTTCTGTGACCTGCTTTGTGACCTCTTCGGTAGTAGTGCTGATCGCGATTTGCTCTGCCACTACAGCAGTGGATGGCGACACCAGAGTGAGATGTGATGACATTTTACTAGAGGCTGATTATAGTTGAGCAAGGCTTAGCAGAGGGATTGCGGGTGTCTTGTACTGAGTATGTTCGCTGTGCTTTTTTATACTGTCTCGGTATTCGGGTATTCGTTAGGCACTGAACATCAGGGGCTCTTATCGTAAGTGGATATGCAGGTCCGTAGGCACATACGTCCAAACTTGTGAACCAACCAGGGCAAGAATTCAATCAATCACCGACATTTCCCAAGGTAAGATGCTTCCTTCCCGCGTGGTTATAGGCTCACTGCTATGCTTGAAGGTCTAGTGGATTCCAAAATGTCCTCAATGTCGACTTGACCTTACGGCCGTTCTCCTCTCTCCTTTCGTAAATTACTTACGCGGATCATAAATCTTTCCTGATTTGACTACCACCGCGTCGGTTCGCATGGGAGACGTTCGACACCTTGTGAAAAGTACCTTGTTCTAATCCTCGCTGTATAGGACCCGAGTTTATCTACCTAGACCTTCCCATGTGGTATTGCTAAACCTTGTAACTTGGGCTCTATACAACGAGGATTGGGACGAAGATACTCTGTGACAAGCCACAAGGCGTAGAACGTGTCCCAGGTGACGGTTCAACCGATGTGGTGGTGGATCAAAGGTCCGCATAGTACTTACGAGAGGATGACAGTGAGGTCAGGCCGACATTGATAGTGTTCTTTTAGAATTGACCAGACCTGACGGACATAAAGTCAAGCCGACATTGACAATGTCCTTTTAGAATTGACCAGACCTGACGGCCGTAAGGTCAAGCCGACATCGACAAACGGCATTTGGAATCGATTAGACCTACCCAGCCATGTACTTACCACACCTGCGCAGAGTTAGTAGCCTCGTCTGACAGATGTGTGACATTTTGAAAACAGCAACTGGCACTTACTTCGAAGACCTTCTCAGGCTGTATCTGGATTCTTCCTAGCCAGGCCTAGCCCCAATCGATTCTTACTTTATTCTCCCATTGTATTGACGCGCCAAGCTGTTACTCAAGAGATCCCGAGAAATAAGCATACAAATGTCCAAAATAACACCCCTTCGGGAGTTCAACATACCCGGATTACCGAGGCCGTGGTCAACATCGTCGCGACTTTCCAAAGTTCAATGGCACGGCTTCGTCATACGGGCAAACAGAGTGGATCGTTTCTTGCCCATAACCATGAGGATTTAGCTCTCAGCGTTTATAAAGGTGTTAAGAACATTTGATTCGGAAGATATGCTAAGGCAATGCTGAAGCGAAGCTCACTGACTATAACCAGGGCCAAATATCATTTCATGGATCAATCGATCACGATCCAGACTCACTGTGCCTCATTAGGGCGCCTTTATTAATGTGAAGGCAACCTACGGCCTGCAGAAGAACCCGAACCGATTACCGCCCATCGGCATTAATCTCGATCCACTCGACCGTATCGTAGATATGAAAAAACAGAAAGTTGGGACTTGGATGACAAGCGTGTCTATGATCACCTGTGGTGGGCTGCTGTTTCTTCCCGAAGAAAAATATAAAGCTCTGCGCGTGCGGATAAGACGCGATGTTCTTATGGCCTGGCCCCAGGCCATACCCGTCACTGCCTGCAAGCTTACAACGAGAAAGAAGGTTTTACGTAGGGGAAGACTGAATGAATGCTTCAAGTGAAGCACCCAAAGTCCGACTTCTGGCGGATCTCATGGAGATTTTTCGGCGGCAGGCGCAAATGGCCGAGGAAATGAAACTGATGAGAACACAAACACGACAAGAAATGTGTACCATGCTGGCACAGATAGATGGGTGCAAAGCACATCAGCGTCAAAGCCTGCGAAATGGCTTCCTCAAATTACCGTAAACATCCACGCAGTAAGGGTCGTGGTTGGGCGAAACATCGAACCTACGAATCGATTAGCGGTGCCTCCCAAGATCTATGCCTACGACACATACAAGACTCAGCGCTGCAGCCTCGTTGCTCGCTTGCTACCAGCGAGAGAGAGACCAGTAGAAGAACTGGTGAGTACTGGTTGACTACTCCCTTCATATTCGATCACTGTGAACTGTGTTAAAACCGGAGAAAACGTAACGCGCGAACCGAAATGCGCCATATCGACCGAATCCATGACAATATCGAACATTGCGGAAGCTCCCCTCTACCCACAGCCCAACCGACCAACTCCGAAACACGAATTTGAGTGGATTGGAAAGACTGTTACAGATGCAGTCTTCTTGCAACAACATCCACATTCTGTTAGATAGCACAGCAGCGGGTAGGTGGAACTGTGAGACAGGACACCTTGTTGAGGAACCATGGGCAGGCGAGGACAGAAACATAAACATACTCACTGCGTAAACGCGAGAATAACCCGATAGGGTTGTCGCAGAGTTAGCGCTGTTGTGAGTGAGTGAACCAGTCCGTCGAGATGTTGTACGCTAGTGACTGCGAAATACGCAAGGATCAACACCGTCGTGGCTCTTCATATCTTAAATATATTCAAAGACAAGCATATATGCGTAGGAGTAAAAGATTTCTGCAAGGGCAAGAGCGCAAATACTCACCTGAGACATCTCCGCCTAACTTATGAGTGGTCGTTCAGCGCACGTGTCACTAACAAACCCAGAATATGTAGACACACCATTCGATACAGCCATTCTATTCACCACTTCCACTCGACGTTCAGACTGACGGAACAGCCATACGGACAGACATCCTCATCCATCAGGTCCTCGAGATCGCATGGAGGATCGCGAAGTTCGATGACGCCATCGCATATCTCCTGCAGGAGCATGCTTAAAGGGACAACGATCCTGGATCAGGTACGATGATTGGAGGCATACCTGACGAGCTTGAGGTAGCGCGCGGGCCAGACAGAGCAATTCAGGGCGAGAACAGTTTGGAGTGCTTGGAGGCTGTGCGAGCACGTTGGGAGTCCTCCATAGGTGAGCGGGAACTTGAAGAAGACGTGGTCTAGAAACGGATGACGAAAAGTAGCATTAGGATGATAGCAATGAGGATTTCGAGAGTCCTGTAGTTTCAAAGATTGTAGGACTTGAAGAAATCGATGGTCGGTCATCAGTGAACCTAGCCGTGCGAATTATATGTCAAAATCAGGTTTATGTAACTTTAATCAGTTCAACTTTCGACTTTGCAAGTCTTGCGTCGAGGACATAAGTAGGAGGAGCGCGACACCCTCAGCACTAAAGCTCGAGAGTGTCCGCGGAGAAAACAATGTATTTGGTAAGCCCGGCGTCCCAGCTGAAAGGCTCGGGTTTGCCGGGGCTAAAGATACAAAAATTTGAGTCTAGATCGCTAAAAGACTATAAGAAAAATGAAAGACGCGTGGTACGCGGGTCAAGATGGGATAGATGATAATTGTTGTTGATGTCGCTGAGTAGTCAAGCCGCGGCCGCAGTGGCGTCGTGTATGATTGCTTGCAGAATGAAAGGGTGAACGCGAATGTATTTCTGAAATTCTTCTGATGACCATCTTCCAGCTGCTTGTATGAGAGCTGGCGGCACACCGTCAAGTGCGAGAGCAGTGGCCCCTCCCGCTCTCATGGAGTGCCCGCTGAATCTGCGATTTGCGAAAATCTGTTGAAAACGAGCCGTAAACCAAGAGCGAGTGGGAACATGCCCATTCGCACGCAGCCATAGCTCTGGATAGTGGGGAAAACTGGCGTCTCTAGAGTGGAGATAACCCTTGAAAATGTTGAGACAGTCGTCATTATAGTTCAAGCGCTGAACAAGAACCTTGCTGCCTTGTCCAAACTTATCCGTTTTGGACAAAGGCAGTGTATAAGAAACCGAGTCATCATTGATGCGTACGGTATGTCGCATAGGGACGCGGTCATAGGATTGTAGTTTGACCTGATCAGGCCAAACTAGTTCTCCCAGGCGTTGCAGTGTCTCAAAACCAAAGTAGAGCTGTGCAAGGAACAGTATGTCATCATGATCTGAAGAGTCATGATAACAAAGAAAAGCCCCATGTAGGTCATTCCGAGATAGAGGTTGTTTTCTTTTCACCGGATGGCTGAAACAGCGCTTACAGCCGGCGAGAGTGCGCTGTAGCAAACGAGACTGACGAACGGTACGGATCTCGGGAAATTCGTCCTCAAGTTTATTGCAGATTCCCGAAAGGTAGACGTCAACAGATGTCGGAAGAATGTATGCAGACATCCAAACAGCATAGAAAGAGAAAGTGTCAGGAGTTGGAGTGAGGGCGAGGTTATGGAGCCGGCAGAATTTGATATACAAGGCGAGTGCTGAGTCATAAGAAGCTGATGTTGATTTAGCCAGAGTGAAACCAAGCGCAATAGCGCGCTCATGGAGCAAATGCTCCAAAGTCCATGCCTGTCGAGACCAGCGGGACTGACAAGATTCCTTGGTCATTTTTGGTTGCCCCCAACGCATCCCAAGGGGGTGTAAATTCATCAATGATGAGATCAGGCACTCGGAGGCTATACTGTTAGAATGATACATTGAAGGTGGACTATAAGCCTAAAACTAGGATACATTATTTGGCTGACTTATCCATGATCCAGATTGATATATCCTTCGATACATCCACCTTACCCAGGATAGATATTCATTTTTGTATAGATCCAAATTCTTGCATGCATGACTTTCATGTTATCTTGAACGCAGATTGCAAAGGCAGACAGGTGCTTATAATATTGGAACAGTAATATTAATGAGTATTGAATTTTAAAAAATTACATTGCTGCAGTGCTGAGGCCTGTTATAGAGGCCTGACTCAGTACTCAGGCCTCAGGCCTCAGGCCGCATGCGCAAGTTCAATGTTGTGTCACATGATTCAGTACTCAGGCTGCATGCGCAAGTTCAATGTTGTGTCACGTGATGTTTGCATTCTCGCAACTAAGTGCAAGTTCACAGATTTGAAGTTACACCAGTTCAGAAATGAAAACACAATTTATTGGGCCAAGAATTTTGATTTTATTATCAAGACAATAATTAGGGCGAACGACAACGAATTATATGGCAAAGGTAGTATGGAACAAAGGTGGTATGGAAAGTGTAGTATGATTGGAACTTCAAAGCGTCAAACCTTTTGCCTCCTGTTCATTGTTAAAATTTTGCTCAGCTGACAAGACAAACTAGAAGATCCTATCAACTGACCTCTTTTGTGGCATGAGATGTCAGTTTCAACCGCTACTCCACAACGCTTGCCAGCATTTGTGGGAAGATTCTCACCAATACTATTCGCAATAACATTGCGTGAGGAAGGAACACACACATGACTGGTCCTGTATGGATGTGCACATTCAAGTGCGGGAGGCTGGCTTTGTCTTTGTTGACCAGCGGTTGTAGTTGGTGGCGGAATTGACGAAAGTATCAGCGGCTGGAGACTGTGCAGGTAAGTCCTGTGATGTTGAGGGGGGCCCAGGCTGAGATACACCATGGGTCCAAGACAAAATTGGCGTAGGAGACAGAGCGGTTGAAGGAGATGTGGGCGAGCTCCGTGGTACCAAGGTTAGCTAGGACTGGGATTCATTCAGATGTAGTGTTGAAGCCTTGGGGAGAGTATCTGCAGGAAGCTCAGATGAAGAAGGTAGTGGAGTTGTGGGAGCCGATGGTGAATTGAGAGTAGCTGCAGTATTACTGTGTGGGTAGGGAGGTAAGGGCGGCAAGTCTGGATTCCCACCTGACGCTTCAAAGGCATCGATTTGAGCGGTGAGTCCCTCCCAGAAAGAGTCGTCTAGGTTTTGCCAATTAATGCTGGTGGATTTCCAGGAAGGTCGACATTAGATGCAGCTTCAACGCTGTCAGGCGGTGTCACACTGGTAGTAGTAGTAAGCGAACTTGAAGTCACATGACCAAATGTGTCATCATGTCAATTTCCTAACTCGACACCACTCGATGAAGGATTGCCGCCATCATCATCATCATTCAGATCTTCTACACCCCCTATCCTTGCCTTTAAACTCGCTGCAGCATCTGCTATTGATTTGGATAGGTGAGTCAGATAGGCTATCATTTGCAACATCTGAACTTACAATAAACACAGTACAGGTAATCTCGAAAAAGGCGACATGACAGTGTTCTTGAAGTCGGGATATGCCTTACTAAAGTCATTCCCGAACTTTGTTTTACCTACATGAAAACTTCATCCCAAAAGTGAGCGCTGGATCCCACAGATCAGCATAGTTGACTTGCCTGTAGACATCAATCAATCCACTGAGCTCTGGAGAAGGGCCACCTGCCAGGAGGGAGAACGAGAAGCCTGTCGCGTCTGCAAGTCCCTTCAAAAACTTATTAACCATAGCAGCAAGTTTTTCCAGATTTCTATGGAGTTGTGTTAGCTGATTGACACATTCAAATTTCCAAATCATTACTTTGCATAATCGTCTTCCGACCACATTCTGTCCTTCTCGTTATCTTTGCGCATCTTTGCATCCTCAATGTACCTCTGCACCTCCGCCTTAACCTCGTTGGTTTCTACTTCGTAGAGATTTGCTGTCTCCTTTTTGACAATGGCAACATGCATTCCATTTGTAAGTGCCTTATTTTCGGCTTGCAGTAATTCAGCCGCTGCCTTTAGTTTGTTGTCGACTATCGATTTTACGCACCTCTGGTAGTACAGTTTGGAATACGCCTCGACTTCCTGAAGGGAACGCGTGGGCTTTTCGCCTTCGGTAACACTCTTCAGTACCGCATGGAAGACATTCGCAGCCTTGGCCTTCGCTTGCCGACCTGTCTTTGTAGCCCCGAGGCTGTTTTTGAAACAGTTTTCTAATTTCTATAACCCCCCATTAATTTGATTGCTTTAACAGGATGTTTGTTGCGCTAACATACCTTTTTTCTGTCAGCTTCAGCCTGATCCATGATGATGATCTCATCCCTGGTCAGGGGCCCAATGAGGGGCAGTGTAGCTGGCCTTGGCTCCGGGAATAGTTCAAGCCATTCTCCCAACAAGTCGGTAAAGAAATTCGCCCAGTTTTTAGCTTTGTCTGATTGCTTCGCACGGTACTTCTCATACCATGGACTCAGCCATTCCTCCTGTTCGGGAGAGGTCCATTTCCAGGGTGCCATCTATATCAAGCATTATGCAATGAGTCCTTTCATTTCGAAAAAGCTCACGTACGTTGCCTCACACGATCGTGGATGGGTATGCTTACTTAGCAAAAATTGAACAGTAACAGTCCAGCCATTGGGCCCAAAAACATCCCATGCACAGGCCCTGACAGTAGCAAGCGCACTCATATTTTGTAAGTAGCACGCACATTCGTATTTGACTCTATATGTGCGTAGTCTATCATGTACCAACTGCCCGAGATGCTCAAACCCTAATACCCTTCTGATACATTAGCTCTCCCAACAAGTGTGCCGTTGTAAGCTCCGCAACTCCTCCGGACATTCCAAGGATCTGAATATCCTCCAAATACACAACAGTAGTCCTCAGGAATTGCGAGACTGAGTCTGCAGCGTGCCACTCAGGTGAGATTCCACAGAAATTGAGGATCTGGTCTTGCGCAGGGATAACACGTTTGAGTAGTTTTTCGATCTCGGCCACTGAATTTGCAATGATTGAGACATCACCCTTAGTCTTGCAATCATCTGGGATGCTCTTGACATACTTGGTCAGTTCGTCCTTAGCGAACTCGCATGGGTCAGCACCAATCAACTTGAGCATGTTGTCCTTGGCGTTTTTGATAGCGAGTAAGCAACTTGGAAGATCTGATCTGTTAGATGTCGGTAACTTGTTTCAATTTGTGTTTCAATTTTTAAAAACAGCATAGAACTTACAGTGTGTCAATCTCGTCATTGTCACTGGAATCATCGGTGTCCGGTTCAGACTCATCGTCATCACACCCATGCAACGCTTTCTTCACAGCTCTCAAGATTTCTTTGGATAACACCTCTGCTTCATTGTCACGTTTCTTTATGCATGTACGAAGATCCTTCCGCCTTTGTAAAATATCATCTCTATGTCTTCACCAGTTACAAATGAGTGTCAGGAACAGTGTCGGGAACAATTAATAAAACGATGACATACTTGGCATAATGGCGTTGGCTCTTTTCTCGTGCAGCCTCCATTTTTGCTTGGAGTGTTTTATGAATGACTGGGTGAACCATCGATATTGTCGGAGAGGGCTTAAGTTGACGATTGTAGTCGTGGTGGTTCAAAACTGAAAGGTTGAAAAGAAGCAGAGCTGAAAGAAGCTTCTGGAGCTCGCCTCACTCATACTCATAGCTGGAACTTAGTACGACCAAAATAAATACATTGCACCATATGTGTTCTGTATCCGAGTGAGCCAGAACGTATGCAGTAGGAACGAACTTAGTAGTAGGCCTTCCAGAGTTACAGTAGATCTTTGTTCATTACTATTATCCTATGAATGGTGGCAGTAATGGTCGTACTACTATAGCTTAGTACCGGTAATGATTACCTGTAGTGCTCTTCAGTCTGACCAAAACTCATTACTCAACCATTTCAAGTTGTGAGTGGTTACAACTTCCTTTCACACAACTGTCAGTGTCTCTGGCTCTCCCACTCACTAGTAAGCTTTCAATAAGGCCACAACTGCAAATTGGCACAATTGGCGCAGTCCAACTGCAGCTGCATAAGTTATCATTGCGCGCAAGTTCATTATGTCAATTTGAGCTTCTTTGATGGATTCGGTAATTCTACTGGCTTGGATATATTGAGTCTCAACAGCATGCACTGTGCAACGTGTGACAACGCCGACAACGCCCACTTCAACTGTCTGCTCATGATGGTGGCTGGAGCAGGTGGTCGTCCCAGCAAGAAGCCTCGTCTAGTTCGTTCAAGCTATTCTCTGCCAGGTTCTGCTGGATGATCTTAAAATGTCCACCGCCACTGAATATTCACTGTACAATCCACTGGACAAGTAAATCTATGGACGAGATATCTTGATGCAGTCCTACCTGCCAGTGATGTTTCTGAGACTGAGTATGACATTGGGACTAACAGTCATGACACGGATCCTTGGAACGAGATTCAATACGATGACAGCGAGCCTCAGGTTCATGATGATGTCTTTGTCGCAAAAGAAAAACAAAAGCGGACCGCTGGAGTGAGCAAAAGTCCTTTTGATTAAAATGATGAAACTGATCTCTGTCATCTATTTCAATAGGATGATCCAATGTGCCTCTGGGTACCTGAACGCCCACATTATCTAGATGAACTCATTCGATTGGAAGGGTGCGGAAGAGCGCATCATGCATGCCATGCCTGCGGAGACTCAGATGCGCCTTATCGTTGTGAAGATTGCTTTTTGGTCAATTTGTTTTGCTCCTCATGCATTATAACACTACACCAGAATGTGCTGCTTCATCAAGTCAAGGTCAGCTTTTTAAATAATTTAAATTAGTGTTTTTGCCTCTCATATCATTATTTTAGCGATGGCAGGACGGGTATTTTCACTCTACAACTTTGAAGCAACTTGGATTGCGCATTCAGTTGGGAGACCACACTGAGCAACTCTGCCGCAATCCCAAACCTGCCCGAGACAATGATTATGTCATAATTGATGTTCATGGAATACACGAGGTCGCACTCAACTTTTGTGATTGTGCAAATGCGCCCTCCCACTACAGACAACTTCTCCGCAGACGGTTGTTTCCAGCAACTTCAACTGACCCAAGGACCGCTGCAACATTCGCAGTACTCGAACATTTTCACCTCCTATCATTCGAGTCCAAAGTCTCTGCTTATGAATTTTACCATTCCCTTGCATGTCGAAGTGATAATACAGGCATAGTGCCTATCAAGGTGAGTCTCATTCCTTCAGTTGGCACCATACCTGCCACTGACCAATCTATGCACACAGGATCGCTGTCTTAATAACCGAGGGTCTTATATAAATACGTGTAAGAATGTAATGACACCACAATTACACTGGATAAGACTTCTTGCCAGTCCTCGATTAACACGGTCTACGACTTTTCTTCTTTCGTGGTAGATAACGTGTGAGTTCTTGGGAGGCTCGCTAAACCAATCAGTCAGATTAACTTAGCCGGAGCTTTATTATCTCTGATTGAAACTATGGGATTGTCTAGGATATACCGTCTAGACACTTGAACTGGTTTCCTGAATATACGGTTAACTGTTGAGAAGCTGGTCTCAAATGTGACTACGTGGACCAAAGCTCGTGTTGGTCAATATACAAATACCTGGTGAGAACGCTGGTCTCACAAATAACAACAAATGACAAATAGAAAACAATGACAAATAACAACAATGACCAAAGCTCGTGTTGGTCAGTATACAAATACCTGGTGAGAACGCTGGTCTCACAAATAACAACGGTGACCAAAGCTCGTGTTGGTCAGTAAACACTACGTGGTGAGAACACTGGTCTCACAAAACTGGGTTTCTATCGCGAGAAACTTACGTAATCTCAAGGGAAACACTTTCCCTGCACTTGCCTGGACAGTTCTTACAAAGGAAATGGGCTTTGTAAGCAGCAATTTGTTCAGACTGAAGCTTCTTAGGTGAGAGTTCAATTTGCTCAAGTGGGAGTTCTTGAATGCAACAAGTGGGAGATCTATTTTTTTTTGGGGGAGAATGGGCTCTCCTTATATACATTTTGTGTGGGAATATTATGTAAGTAAAAAGGTGATGTAATGACTTCAGAATGTGAGAAGAATATTCCAAAAACTGGAGCAGAATGTTCTAGCAGGTGCAAAAGAACATTCCAGAATATTCATGGTGGGATAATGACATCATTCTGAGTCACTATGAGTCACTATGAGTCATTATGAGTCATTGGAATGTTCTAGCAAATTCCATGGAACATGACATCATTATGACATCACTATGATATCATATCTTTCAACCAAAATACCTGCAGGAGTGTAGGTGAAGTCCTATGACATCATTATGACATCATACCCTGTAGGTACAATTTTTATGAAGCATCTGATTAGTCAGAGCATCCTAATAGAAAAGTAAAGTAAAGAAACACTAGAGAAAACAACTCAGAAATAATGGAACAAATAATAGTACACAATACGCGGGCTTTTTAGATAGGTTTTTGTTAGGCTTTGAACTTTTCTCTATGGGTTTCTCTAGCCAAAGTGAATAAGCCAAATGAAAGGCAATACCTTAACCTTCATTTTTGCTTCTCATATCAACTAGGTCATTATGTGATTCCCATCTCACATATGACTTTTCTTCAAAACATGGTGGATTCATGAATCACTGAGGGAAAACTGAAACTATTGGACCAAGGTTTGATACCAAGGTATGGGTTGACTAGTCTGAGGACTAAGCTAACAGACTTTGTCTTTTAGGGGGATACCTAGTAGTCATGTCCATGCATGATTCCCAAATCATGCAGGACAGCGCGCCTGGTTCCCGATTTGGTATATTATACCCGCCCAAACACCGTCAACCCGCGGTGAATGGCCACGGTATGCTCAAGGGTACGACTATCCTACTCCGTACCCGTACCCTCCAAACCCGTCAGCATAGAACCGCGGTGTTACCCGTACCCGTGCGTTTCCCTAGCCACGATAAGTATTCGCGTGCTCGTGGCATGCTGGTCTGCCTTTCAAGGCACCTTGATCGTGTCAGTTGGGACCACAAGTTGCAGGTATTGAAAAAGTCCGACCTCAGACCAATAGGCGACCTTGGGGGACAGACTCAGGGCATGGCAATAATGTCGTGGATTTGGCTTACGCATGGGGTCTGTTCGCACAACAGTGAGGGGCTGCAAGACTGTAAGTGCTTATGCAGCAATGTTTTCATTCAGAGTTGTACTCATTTTATGATGGATTTAGCACTCCGCGTCGAATGGTGTAAGACACGGGCTCGACATACCAGATGGTTAGAAGAAATACAACTCCTGCTAGTAGAAATGCGCCACGTGTTAGCATTCTTTGCGTGGGAAGCCGAATGCTGGGATGAACGAGGAACCCTTCGTGTGGTGGACCGGTCAGAAGATGCAGAGGGTTTGACGGCATACGCAAAGCGCCAGGCTGCTGTCCGTTGTGCCTTGTCTGCCAGTTTTTCGGAGATGTGGTCTAATGTGGGAGCCTTGGTAAATGCCGGTTTGGATGATGGTGCAGAAGACCAGGAGGATGATGGACCTTCTATTACTGAACCTCCCCGCAAAGATCTTGATGGTGTTGATTAATGTCTATTCTGTACCTTCATACGTAGTCATCTTTAATCGATCTTAGATCTCAGATTCTCAAAGATGCTCGACATTTAGTACAGGCCCGGGTATCCTCGACATGTCACATGTGCCGGCTCTCGGACGCTCTCGGACGGAGAATCATGGGAGCACATTGTCCGAGATACATAGATCACTAGCCTACAGGGATGTATCATTAGAATGGATAATCGAGCTGAGGGATGTATTCCAGTTTTAGGGCTATAGCCCATAGTGATATATTCATACACCAAGATGGGGTGGCACTCGCTCAAGTGCTAGATGATTATTGAAGCGAGACAAGGCATCCGTCACAGAGTTCTCTGTCCCTGGCACGTGATAAACACGGAGGTCGACATTGTGCTCGATCAGGACGTTCACTGCCAACATTAGAATGTTGTTATATGGTGCTGAGGCTCACAACGAATTGAAAATGTCGATGGTGTTAGTATTGTCGGTAAAAATAGCGACGTGCCGAGGAATTGGATCTGTCTCAGCCAGTGCATGAATTGCACTGCACATGGCTAAAGCCTCGAAAAAGAAGATTGACCCAGTTGGTGCCTCTCCGGGTAAGCGAGACTGAAAGCCGAAGTTAAGGTCCGGGAACCAGTAACCAAGGCCAACGAGAGACGTGTCAGTGTATATGGTGACCACATCATCTGCTGTCTCTGGGGTCCAGTCCAGAGAGTCAAGGAGTAGGACGCCGGGTAGGTTCTCCATATGATTAGTCAACCATGTCAATTCCCAAACAACATCGACGTTGACGTAGATTTGCGCGAGAGGCTTTACCTTGTTGCGCATCTTGGCATAAACAGCGGCGAGTCCTGGTTTCAGCAAGGGAAAAACATTGAAAAGCCAATTGATAGTCCCCGCAATGTTTTGGAATTCTCGCAGGGTGTGGCGATGGCGTGGTACAGCAAAGGCGCGAATGTATGCGATCAACTCCGTTTTCTTCTCTTGTGGAATTGAAATGATCATACTGTTTGGGTCAACATCAAAACCTATGACTGTGAGTCACCATCCAAAGAGCTGCTTTGCAGGCTCATGAGGGATGCCGAGTCTGTCCCAAAGTTGAAGCAGCTGTGCTTGCTTCCGAGGCAGATAGGTACTGTAAGGCTCATACAGGAGCACGTTACCTTCTAACTCGAAAGAGAAGGAATCATCCATGTAGAGCTTCAGGTGCTCGATCATGACGACGACGCTCGCGATCCAGGTGACAAGGGACATGAACGAAACCCAGATCAGAGCGGAACCTCTCCCTCCGAAATTATTGCAGCGGTCCACATAACGATTATTATTCACAGTGATTACTTGCTTTAGCTGCCAAAGAGGATGCATTGGTAGCCAACGATAGGCCTGAGAAACATCCGATTTGAAAACAACCAGAGGAACCTTACCATGCTCCCGCCGGAACTGGAGCGGAGTTTTGCTACTGCGCTTCCCCTTGCTACAAAGCACTATATACTTCGAAATATTTCACTGATGGGCTGACTACCTCCTCATGATCTCTCGCCCCCGCCATAATTTCGTGTTGAGGGTGGAGGAGTTGTCACATCCTGGGGCATCGATCTTTTTTGGCCGCGTCAAGCCCAACTGTTCTCGGTGAGTTCACATCGTCAGCAGTGTCGACCGGAGCATGGGGCTCCATTGAAGACTACTTAGTACTGTCCTGTACAGAGTCTCACTCTCAATGGACATAAAGCTGGATTTTTTGTTAAAAAAAGTATCAGATGCTGGACTTCAACTAATTGACGGTGAAGAACACGCGCTGAGCAAACATGACCATTGTCATGTGCACAAAGGACATTCACAGTAGGTGGTGAGGAAGGACTCGTGGCATGTAAGCACTGAAAAATCTTTGATCTGCGTTCATATTATGAGCAGTACACGACGCAAGTACAAAGGGACACGAGAAATATTTTGGTAACTGCATAAAAGACCTCGGTATTTTCAACGCAACAGCGCCGCTTGCTTCGCTGCAGACATACACCCTGCATGCTTGAATTCTGGATGAAAGATAGTTGAGGACGGCAGCATGGTTGACATGACTGAAAGAACTCACCGGCGAACCAAGCACGTAAGCTGGCCTTTTGAGCTTTGTCGGAATCATCCATAAGGGACAGGTAGAACTCGAGTGCTTCGATGTTACACGTCCGGGCGAGTATAAGACATTTATACTTCCTTACGGTCTGCCACAACGACTTGAGGTCCCACCCGAAAATCTGCAAAAAAGCGCGGTTGAGCACACATATCATGTTGCGTCGTATATTGTATCAACGTACCACGACGAATTGCATGTAGACAGAAAAGTCCATTGTTTGAAGGAAACAACTGTTAGCGATGTCGATAGCGGCATTGATGTACGTGATAGCTTTATCGCGATTGTTGCTCTTCGAGGCAGCGAGTGCCATTTCGGCATAGAAGTATACCTGATGCGCGAAGCGCAGAACAATCAGTCTCAGATTCAGAACACGAACCAGAATTGATACTCACTTGCACGAGTTGACAAATAAGAAGATCGGCATCGTGAGAAACCTCGGCTATGTCATTAACATACGCAATTGCTTCATCGTATAGAGTTGCATTGAACATCGCAATGGCCTGAAAATCGTAATGAAGCACCGAACATGTAAGAATAAATGTAATCCACCCTGATCAAAACAAGAAGATGATGGGTTGCTGAATCTCCAGACGCGAACCTCAACGCGAGATCAAATGCAATCTTCGCTTCCCGAATCTGCTTCAATCCATAGTGGGCAATGCCCTTGGCCATATAGCCTATCAACGACTTTTGAATGCTAATGGACTATGTCACGATCCAAGTTAGTACATCTTGAAGGAGTCCAGTGTTAGTCGGTATAACTCACCCGAATTGCATCTTTAAGCGCGGATTCCCAATCACCCGTGCGTGTATAAATAATCGAACGGTGCCCGAAGCAGACGTAGTCGCTGGAATTTGCCTTGATGTATCGTGTGAATATCTCCAAAACCGTAGTCAACTTCCCCCGCGTTATGATTGTAGTGTAGGCGGTCTCATCCATAGTGAGCGTGATGGTACAGGTCTGTGGAATGTTCGAATTGTGTTATGAGAGTCGATAACGAGAACATACCTTGTGCCAGTGAGTAACTTTCGTTTGAGTCTTTGTCTAAAATCCGCGAAATGAGATGATGAAATTATGAGAAATCAACGATAACATACCGACACCAGTCCCGTCGAGGGCAGTGCCCACTGCGATATCCTCTGGTCATTGCCTCCGCTGAAGAATGTGACACAAAACGCGCCGGCAGAGACATCGAGTACGTTGGATTTCGGGAACGGCCAGAGGCGGATACTGCCGTCAGAAGATGCGGAAGTGATGATGGTGCTGGACTCATTGACAGAAATGGTGCTGATCTTGTCATTGTGACCACGGAAGGTTTTGATCTCCTCCCCCTTCAATGCTTCCCACACCCGAACGGTAGGATCGCGTTTACCGCCCCCTGAGAGAAGGTATGTTCCCTGGAGCGTCCATGTGAGTGCGAAGGTGCCACCTGAATGGCCCTTGAACGCTTTGATGCGCTGCCTAGTTGCTGTATTATAAATGCAGATATTGTTCTCTGTCGCGATGGCAAGACGTTCGCCAGATGACGAATAACGAACGGAGTGGGCAACTGAATCAAGATGGATTGCATCTTGATTTTCCTTCCACGTAGCTGTGCACCAAAACCTCACCGTACGGTCACCCGCACTCGCCAAAGTGTTTCCATCTGCGGAAAAGTCCAGCGATATGTAGACCTCACTGGACTCGTGAGCTGGGATGAGGTGAAAGGCGACAGATTGGGCAATGGTCCCGTTTTGGGCAGTGGTGGCCCCGTTATGGTTATGGATAACGAACTTCCCGGTATGGGGAATGTAAGACCCCTTTCCGGTTTGAACGAAGCCTTTTCCCCAGGCATCATTAATGAGACAAACGCCTTCTCCGTTCCAGGGAATGATAGCTCCAGTGATATCACAACTTGCTATGAATTTCCCGTCTCGTGATACCGCCAATCCAGTCACAACACTCGAATGCCCCACCAGACGTTTCAATACCTTCTTCGTCGTCAAATCCGACAAACAAAGTGTGTTGTCCTTCGAACTGGTGACCATATGCTGCGTGTTGGGCAACACTACAACCACGGAGATGGACTCGTAATGACTTTCAACCATCTTTGTCACTTCTGTGACGTGTTCTGTGACCTGTTGTGTGACGCGTTTCGTGACGTGTTCTGTGACCTGCTGTGTGACCTCTTCGGTAGTAGTGCTGATCGCGATTTGCTCTGCCACTACAGCAGTGGATGGCGACACCAGAGTGAGATGTGATGACATTTTACTAGAGGCTGATTATAGTTGAGCGGGGCTTAGCAGAGGGATTGCGGGTGTCTTGTACTGAGTATGTTCGCTGTGCTTTTTTATACTGTCTCGGTATTCGGGTATTCGTTATAAGGCACTGAACATCAGGGGCTCTTATCGTAAGTGGATATGCAGGTCCGTAGGCACATACGTCCAAACTTGTGAACCAACCAGGGCAAGAATTCAATCAATCACCGACATTTCCCAAGGTAAGATGCTTCCTTCCCGCGTGGTTATAGACTCACTGCGATGCTTGAAGGTCTAGTCGATTGTAAAATGTCGTCAATGTCGACTTGACCTTACGGCCGTCCTCCTCTGTCCTCTCGTAAATTACTTACGCGGATCCTAAATGTTTCCTGATTTGACTACCACCACGTCGGTTCGCATGGGAGACGTTCGACACCTTGTGAAAAGTACCTTGTTCTAATCCTCGCTGTATAGGACCCGAGTTTATCTACCTAGTATTGCTAAACCTTGTAACTTGGGTTCTATACAACGAGGA